CAAGCAACACCTCATGGGTTCATCTGCTCCGATCGTCGAACACATGCTCCGTGCAGCTCAAGAAGTACCGTGCCAGCAACGCGTCGAAATGTCTGTCACAGCAAGGATTCTGCATGTTTTTACAATATTTCGCAATTATTCCTCGAGTTTTTGGACTTTTGGATCCGAAAGTCCAACAACTCGAGGTTTTCAATTCTGGATCCGAAAGTCCAAAAACTCGAGGAATAATTGCAAAACCTGAATTAAGGGATCCCCACGCAAAGGACCTTGATCATGAGCTCCTTCTATGCCCAGGTGAGCTCGCAATAAATTAGACAGGATTCTTCAACTCACCTCAGCTCAGCTTTTGACAAACAAGAAGCACACGGCCAAGCCAGCGTTCTCTTCAGCAAGAAGTTGATATCTGAGTTTTGAAAGTCAATGAGTCTCTTGACGGTGGAAAGGCAAAAAGCCGCAGATTAAAGGCCAGAAAGCCACCATTCGTAGAGGACGATTTGCGAAACCGAGCTATTGAGTTTCACGCTCATTTGCAGGACAAAATGTTGAACAAAAGATCTCCTTTGGGCGGGATCCTTTTTTGGTTTTCACATTCATTTGCAGAGCAATAAATATTGAACAACCGCTTCAAGTCCAACATCGGACATACATCTACACTGATGTCTGCAAGTCAAGCAACGCAAAATGAAAAAAAACACTTGCAACACTTTGCTGGTGTGCCCCTGGACAAAAAAACAAGTAGAGGGTGAATTCACAATTTCCCTGGCTTCTTTGGACTGGTCACGTGGTTTCTTCGCGTGCCATCCATCGGAAAGAAAGAAACCGACCGCGAGCGCGCACCGCCGAGGCCGGCGCCAAGGATTCAGTTCTCCGGAACCTTCGTTCCAGGTGGTGCTGCAGCGAGTGGCGATCAACCCGTCGTTGCCTCGGCTCCAAGAGGGACCTACGAAGGAAACTCGGTTTGGTTCATCTGGTCATCCATCTGCGTTTTTGTCCCCTGGAAAGCATGAGAAATCCATGTCCAGTAGTGATGCGTGAAAGTCACGATGTGTGAAGTCAGAACACATCTTGCCGAATTGCGTCACTTCTTTTTGTTCAAGCCAGACAGTGTTTGGCAGAACATGTCTGGCTCTCCTGTCCGGGGAAAAAACGCTTCGGCGAGGAATATCCTCTTACTCACTTTCCCACCATCGAACCGAATGATCGGAGGGTTTGGGAATACTACCATCCTCTTGAAAAGGCGAAAAACAACTTTTCCACATGTTTAACAATACGATTCGTTTATGTTTAAATCAATGAGAAAGCTGTTGTGGTTTTGTAGGATTTGCCCGAGAAGTCAAGCTTTCGGCAAACTGGTGTCAACACCAGGAGACGACCCCCGGAAAAGAAGGTGGAGTAATTCCAAAGTTTCTCTACCCTGCCAACTTGTTTCGTGTTGACCCGTCCTCGCTGAGCCGTTCTACGCGTGACTAAGTTTTCTTGAGGCTTACTCGGTCTATTGACCCGTTCTAGGCCTCACTGGCACGCTTTGTGAAGCTTTACAAAGCCTTCTTCAGCCTAAGGTTGAATAAGGCTTATTCAACAAGGATCCTTACATTATACACCTGAACATTGCCTTGCAAATGGTGGTGTCCCTTTCTTTTGGTGTTGAAAAAGCCATGTTTCAAATAGGCAAAATGTATCTTTTAAGGAGCCCTGTTCAATCTTTATCAAGCCTTGTTAAGCCTCAGCAAGCCTTGTTCGGCCTTATGAAGCCTTACTAAGCCCAAAAAACACCCTGCCTGAGTTCGTTGGAGCGGACCCCAAATAGCTTCACAAGGCGGAGTGCCCAAAACTCACTTGCATGTTGGAGGTTTTTACAAACCGAAAGGCAGCCAATCAATTCTAGGCATCATCATGAATAGATTGGCTAAAACAAGCCCAGACTTGTTGTTCGCCACTGAAAATTGTCCAAACTCCAACAAAATATCAGTTTCCTTATAGGCACCTCAATCTCAATGTCCGTTTCCAAATATCAAAATGGGGTGGTAGGTGTTCCTCTTGGTTTCCCTTGAAACCTGAAAAGGCTCTCCAAAAAATTCGACCACCCATATGCTAGAGCCACCTTTGAGGTGAGGGGTAGGGTAGGAATTGGTGAAGCGACACCAAATAAAGCGAATCCATTGTGCTACCCAAATGAGTTGATCAAAGGAGAATGGCCGTTGGCCTTACAGACCAATCACCATTCCTTTGCCAGGCCAGACATAGACACCCTGCAAAAAGTGAAAAGTGTTTGTTGCAAGGGGAAATGATGAAAGAACAAGAGTGCAAAAAGATAGAAAGGTGAGTTGAGTCCTGGCAATGGGGGATGGGCATGCAAGAAGCGCAATGCAAGCGGTACCCCCAAACCGCCAAGGCAAACATGAGGCAACCGCTAGACACAAATCTCACTTGTTTAGAGGACCTGGAAATAGAAGGCGAAACTGTTGAAACTTTGACCAAATATGAAAAATCATGCAAACCAATAGCTTAAAAAGGTCGGCTTTGGACTTTAAGCTGTGTATGCAAGCTAACCAAACGGCACCACACACGAGCACGCGATAACTCTTTCATCCGAGCAGTGTGTTGGTGCCAGGGACTCATCTTCCCCTGTCAGATGACCAACGCTGGGTGGGCCCCATGGGCCACCCAACTCACAATTCTCAAAAACTGAAGAACGGGTGTGCAGACTGATAGCGCCCGCCCCTGAGCCGGGGCCCGTGCACAGGGGGGTCTGCCACCAGGGGAAGTGAGTCACCCACCGGCTCCGGTCACGGGAGCATGGGTGGGCCCACGCTAAGATCAAATGCATCTCCATTCAGGAGACGCGGGAGAAAAACAAACTCCTCACAGAGTTCCTGCTTGGGGACCCTTTGTAAAGGGTCGAACCCAGAGAAATCCGGGTGCGTCAGCTCATCAGCCCATTGATTGAATTCACGGGGCACATGGTTGGCCGCCAGCGAGCAGCCATGGGTGTGGAGCAGGAAGACCAGCTCCATCAGGATCGCCGCCGTGTAGGGCTTCTTGGATCCAAGGTTGAGCATCGCCATGACGTTGCCCTGATTGTCACTGCCCACCGGGAGTCGGACCCGGGAGGACAGAGGGCCTTGGTGCGTGAGGATCATGTTACAGAGGAAGAGCGTGCCCAGCATCTCCAGAGCTGCAATCCTCCGCTTTGGATCCCCATTCTTGAAAGCCCAAGGGTACTCCTCCACGTGGATCTGCTCATGGAACCAGTACACCTCCTTCTTGTCCGGTTCCACTGTGTTGGAGCACCAACCTCCCACAAATGCCAGTCCGTCGTCCGAGGCGCTAGCGTCGCTGCAACCCCACCAAGAGGACTTTGGCAAGTAGGGGGAGTACTGGACGAAAGGCGTGTTGAAGAGGAACCGCAGCATGAACGCCAGCATCCTGACCACCTTGGGGGGTTTCCCCACCGTGGTGGTGGCCATCTTCCAGGCCCAAAGTGGCTGGAGCATCGACTTCGCCAGCGGACATGCAGCCGTTGCCCATTGGATGCGGCCCAGGGCCTTCTCGATGTCCTTTGAGTGCATCGCCTGCCCTTCCACCATGGTCTGCAAAACCTCCATGACCAGGATGTGTTTGTTGGCTGCCATGAGAACCTGCGGGATGTTCGGGTGGACCACGAAGCCCAGCCATGTGTTAACCTCCGCCAAGTGCGTCTTCTTCCAGCTAAGTGGGGTGCCCAATGCCAGGAGTGTGGCCAGCAGCGCCACCGCCAAGTTCACTGCCCCCTCGCTTCGAAGCAGCCACAGGAAGTCGTCGACGAAGACGAAGTTCCAATCCACTTGAGGGAAAAGTGCGTAGAGGACCCTGAGCAGAAGGGCTGCCAGGCGTCCCCAGTAGGATTGGGCACTGGCCATGCCATATGTGCCTACCTTGTTCACCCACCATTCTTCCCCCAGTGAGGCCACCTGGAACCGCCAGTCCTTCCTGAGGACCTTCACTCTCCGGTGGGCCTTGGTGACGTCCGCCTTGAGCAGCACCCACCTGGTGCCCGGCTCCGGCCATAGCCAGCCCCCAGGTGGAGGTTTGACAGTCCCCCAGAGGCACCCTGAGAGGGGGGTCCCTCCGCAGCTGCCGCATGTAGCCAATGGAGAGCTTGAACCCCATCCAGCACCGTCGGAGCCGTCGTCCTTTCCACCGTCTGGTTCCTGATGGTGTCATTGGCCCCTCACCGAGCCATCGTAGATCGTGCGGATCTTGTCCCCCTCGTCGATGCCCCTCGCTGTCGCAGCCACATCGCGATGCTGCCTCCTCCTTACTGAAGGGGCCCTCCACCATGCCCATGGGGACCTCCTCCAGAAATGTGCCCCGGATGAGATCGCTGAAGTGATCCGCCGAGGGGTAGTTGCCCCTGCCCGTTGGGTGGGGGAGTTCCTGGAACTCCGGCTCCTCCCCTTTCAGCTCCTTCTTGAGTGGCCAGATGCCCGGCGAGGTCAGGGGTGGGTCCGTGACCCCCAGTAAGACCCCTTGCTCCAGGTCCCGGGGAAACTGGTGGTCGGGGTCCTGAATGTTCAGCGCCACGCTGTGCAAGATGTCCAGGAAGAAGGGTTGGCCGTCCGCTGGTCGGCCTGCCCCCGGCGCCAGAATCTCCCTGATGTCCTCCAGCAGGTCCTCCGGGAAGGGATGTGACCCATCCCCCAACGAGAGCGACTCCTGGAGCTTGTCCCCCCACGGCGAAGTGAGGACACAGATCTTGGCCCCCAGCACTGCTGCTTTGGACAGCGGTCGGGCCCACGGGGCCAACCGTCCCAATGAGGGCTTTCCTCCACCGTCTCTTAAGGGACGCTGCTTGAAAGCCATCTGGAGGTACATGACCTTGTCGGAGATATTGGGGTCGTGCGTGATCGGCAGGATGGTGGGCCGATCCGAGATCTCCATGCCCTGGTGTGCCCATGGATCCAGGGGAAGAGTTCCCCCCCCAAGTTCATCCACCTCGCCAGTCCTCTGTGTCGATGTCCCCGCCTCTGGATTATCCGAGGCCGAGACCGGAAGTGAGCCCAAGGTCAGACCTGCCAACGCTTGTTGGCCCGCCTTCAGCCTTCGGGACTGGCGCTTGTTGTCCCCCGGCGTGCTGGGAGAAGGTTCCCTTGGACGCCTCGGGGGGGGGTCGTTGGGTTAGCCTGGGGCGTCATGCCTCCCGGCCTCAGCGCCTCCAGGACGGGTCCCGCTCGGCAAAGGATGGCCGCTGCGAGACCCTGCATCATCTGCTCCGGGTACCGGCTGAGGTCACTGGAGTTGAGCTTTTCTCCCCTGGGGTGAGACCCGTGGTTGCAACGCAGGTCATGCCAATGGTGGAGAGGAAGGTCCGTTGACAACGCCGTGGACTTCACAACCACCTGGCCCAGGCGGCACTCATCGAACTTGATGAGGGAGTGGTGGAGTGCACTCGCCCATTGAACGTAGGCCCGCGTGACCCAGATCGATGAGCACCTGCTCTTGCTGCACTCCATCGGGTCCATCGGGTGCTCCAGGAAGGAGGAGCCAACCTGCGGGACCGTTAGCTGACCTAGCCCCTTGCAGGCCAGCGAGGTCAGGTACATCTGTCGGAGCATGAGCACGCTGTCATTGTCCGTGTCCTCCCTGACCCGGGGCTCCAAGTCCTCTAAGCCCCACAAGGTCTGCTCTGCTCTGCCCCTCACCGGCGGCGGGCCACCCGGTTTGGGGAACCACCTGAGGATGCTCCACGTCCTGCAGTTGGGGCCACCTCCCACCAATGCGACCTTACCCGCCATGGCCATGGAGCACATCGTCGAGTAGTCCTGGCCCAGGTCTCCACCCTTTCTCCTGATATCCACCGCCCAAATGTACTCCGAGAAGGCCGGGTTGTAGGCATGGAGGTAGGCATCCAGGGCCCCCGCATCATCCTTCCCGGCGTACAGC